GTGTCCTCCATGTTCCCCTGTCTAGTGTCCTCCATGTTCTCCATTCTAGTGTCCTCCATGTTCTCCTGTCTAGTGTCCTCCATGTTCCCCTGTCTAGTGTCCTCCATGTTGCCTTGTCTAGTGTCCTCCATGTTCCCCTGTCTAGTGTCTTGCATGTTCCCCTGTCTAGTGTCCTCCATGTTCTCCTGTCTAGTGTCCTCCATGTTCCCCTGTCTAGTGCCCTCCATGTTCCCCTGTCTAGTGCCCTCCATGTTCCCCTGTCTAGTGCCCTCCATGTTCCCCTGTCTAGTGCCCTCCATGTTCCCCTGTCTAGTGCCCTCCATGTTCCCCTGTCTAGTGCCCTCCATGTTCCCCTGTCTAGTGCCCTCCATGTTCCCCTGTCTAGTGCCCTCCATGTTCCCCTGTCTAGTGCCCTCCATGTTCCCCTGTCTAGTGCCCTCCATGTTCCCCTGTCTAGTGCCCTCCATGTTCCCCTGTCTAGTGCCCTCCATGTTCCCCTGTCTAGTGCCCTCCATGTTCCCCTGTCTAGTGCCCTCCATGTTCCCCTGTCTAGTGCCCTCCATGTTCCCCTGTCTAGTGCCCTCCATGTTCCCCTGTCTAGTGCCCTCCATGTTCCCCTGTCTAGTGCCCTCCATGTTCCCCTGTCTAGTGCCCTCCATGTTCCCCTGTCTAGTGCCCTCCATGTTCCCCTGTCTAGTGCCCTCCATGTTCCCCTGTCTAGTGCCCTCCATGTTCCCCTGTCTAGTGCCCTCCATGTTCCCCTGTCTAGTGCCCTCCATGTTCCCCTGTCTAGTGCCCTCCATGTTCCCCTGTCTAGTGCCCTCCATGTTCCCCTGTCTAGTGCCCTCCATGTTCCCCTGTCTAGTGCCCTCCATGTTCCCCTGTCTAGTGCCCTCCATGTTCCCCTGTCTAGTGCCCTCCATGTTCCCCTGTCTAGTGCCCTCCATGTTCCCCTGTCTAGTGCCCTCCATGTTCCCCTGTCTAGTGCCCTCCATGTTCCCCTGTCTAGTGCCCTCCATGTTCCCCTGTCTAGTGCCCTCCATGTTCCCCTGTCTAGTGCCCTCCATGTTCCCCTGTCTAGTGCCCTCCATGTTCCCCTGTCTAGTGCCCTCCATGTTCCCCTGTCTAGTGCCCTCCATGTTCCCCTGTCTAGTGCCCTCCATGTTCCCCTGTCTAGTGCCCTCCATGTTCCCCTGTCTAGTGCCCTCCATGTTCCCCTGTCTAGTGCCCTCCATGTTCCCCTGTCTAGTGCCCTCCATGTTCCCCTGTCTAGTGCCCTCCATGTTCCCCTGTCTAGTGCCCTCCATGTTCCCCTGTCTAGTGCCCTCCATGTTCCCCTGTCTAGTGCCCTCCATGTTCCCCTGTCTAGTGCCCTCCATGTTCCCCTGTCTAGTGCCCTCCATGTTCCCCTGTCTAGTGCCCTCCATGTTCCCCTGTCTAGTGCCCTCCATGTTCCCCTGTCTAGTGCCCTCCATGTTCCCCTGTCTAGTGCCCTCCATGTTCCCCTGTCTAGTGCCCTCCATGTTCCCCTGTCTAGTGCCCTCCATGTTCCCCTGTCTAGTGTTCTCCATGTTCTCCTGTCTAGAGTCCTCCATGTTCTCCTGTCTAGCGTCCTCCATGTTCCCCTGCGGAGGCCTCCGAGTCTCTGCATGCCGCTCAGAGTTCCATCCTCTGACTTCCTCCTCTGTGTCTCTAGGAGAAGACGTCCATGAAGAGTCTCCGCGGGTCAGAAGACGCGTCTATTATAACGATGGACACCGCCAAGTGTACGGCACCTTGTACTGCACCAGCCACAGGATCGCTTTCCGGCCAGACTGCGTACACCCCCCCGAGGTAAGGAGGAGCGCGCATATGTATGATGGAAGCTGACCATAGGATTCCATGGCTGGGAGTACTTGTGACCCCAACATGGCCGTTCATCAGTCCGGGTCAGGAGAGCGTCACTGACTGAGAGGAAGACCAGAATAACATACATTGTATTGTTCTATTGTGTCCGTGTTACCTCTATCAGCCAATCAGGTGTCGCCTTCCATCCGTGTAACCTGATCATTGCTGCGGGTTGTACAGATAATATGTTTTCTCCGTGTTCAGGACATGTAGGAGATAACGTCACGCGTGTTTCTGTTGCAGCATTCCTCCGGCGAGGCGATGTTTGACAATGACAACGACATTGCCCTGCCCTGCGTTGACAGGATTGTGGCAGGTAAGGGTTGTCACCTGAATACACACATGCCACTGTGTACTAGGGGGGCCACGGACTGTACCAATGTGTACTAGGGGGGCAACGGACTGTACCAATGTGTACTAGAGGGGGCCACGGACTGTACCAATGTGTACTAGGGGGGGCCACAGACTGTACCAATGTGTACTAGGGGGGGGCACGGACTGTACCAATGTGTACTAGGGAGGAGGTCACATGATCCCCATACTTGGAAGTATTGGGTATTGCTCTGTGCTGCCAGTGGGAGGGAAAGGTGAGTATGTGCAGCTGCTGGGCATCAATGAAAGGGAACCCCCCGTACCCCGGCATGGTGAAGGCCGAGGTGTGTGTTCTCTGCCGCTGTGATGTCTCTTCTCATCTTCTCCCCTCTTTCTTGCATTGTTAGTGGCTGGGCAGAGTAAAGTAAAGGTTGTCACTCCTTCGCTGAGCCTGAAGTTTGTGCCAGAAGAACTTCTGATCCATTACCGAGGATTCCGCCTCATGCACTTCCACTTCAGTGACAACGGCCTGAAGACCGAGGCCTACACCGTAAGATCTCATTGTATGCAGGAGGAGGGAAGAATATTGTCTTATAATAGTGTCCATAGGAAGCCCAACAACCGTTCTTACTCCTCCCCTGAGGAACATGGAGGTTATAAACCTTCTGGTTATACTGCCACCTACAGGAGGATAACTGGACCAGTTCCTCCTACTACCAGCGTGCCGTAGTTCTTTGCTGGTGTCCTAGGAAGACGGACATTTCTTCTCACTGATTCAAAGATTTAACCTATGACCCCACTGGACTGGAAAATGTGGGGTGAGCCTGAAAGTGACCCCCCCGGGGACTGGATTCGGATGAAGTTTTGTCATTGAGTGCTTTTCGGGCTTGTTCACACCAAGCGCGGAGCAGTTGCAGACCGGATCAAAACTGCGTCCAATGGATTCCTATGGTATTTTGAGCTCCAGTTCACATCGCAGCGTGCAGGTCCAGAGCAGGTAAAAAACACTGCAGCAGGCCCTATTTTACCTGCTCTAGACCTGCAAACGCATCAATAACGCATGCAGATGCCTGGAACGCATTAAAAGCCCATGTTAAACTAATTTTTTTTTAGCCAAAAACGCATCTAAAAGACTAGCGTGCGTGCGCAGAAACCTGACCGGATCTGCTCTGCATTTGGTGTGAACAAGGCCTTCAGGTCCAGAACCATTGCCTTTCACTTCCTCTGTCTCTGAAGATTCGTTCTTGTGAATGGGCCCTTCTAGCCGGGTCCCGCGAGCTCCCCCATTTGTAGAATGCTATTTTCTGCAGGACGGCCATGGAAGGGGTTCATGCTGTGGGAGCGCTGGGTGCGTGGACTCTGGGCGCCCTTTCCTGCCGGGACTGACCAAGCATCTCCCTGCCGCTGCTTCTGCTACGAGAGCCACATGGAGCTTCCCCAGTCAGTTCTTATTGCCCAACTTGCCACCTCCACCCACTCAACCCTAAACATTCCGGCCACCTACTGCCTGCCCGAGGTCCATTAGCACCCTAGGCCTTGCTCCTGACCTCGACCCTAGGCCTTGCTCCTGACCTCGACCCTAGGCCTTGCTCCTGACCTCGACCCTAGGCCTTGCTCCTGACCTCGACCCTAGGCCTTGCTCCTGACCTCGACCCTAGGCCTTGCTCCTGACCTCGACCCTAGGCCTTGCTCCTGACCTCGACCCTAGGCCTTGCTCCTGACCTCGACCCTAGGCCTTGCTCCTGACCTTTTTTTCGACCCTAGGGCTTGCTCCCGCCCTCCACCCTAGGCCTTGCTCCTGACCTCGACCCTAGGCCTTGCTCCTGACTGTGACCCTAGGCCTTGCTCCTGACCTCGACCCTGGGCCTTGCTCCTGACCTCGACCCTAGGCCTTGCTCCTGACCTCGACCCTGGGCCTTGCTCCTGACTGTGACCCTAGACCTTGCTCCTGACTGTGACCCTAGGCCTTGCTCCTGACCTCGACCCTAGGCCTTGCTCCTGACCTCAACCCTAGGCCTTGCTCCTGACCTCGACCCTAGGCCTTGCTCCTGACCTTGACCCTAGGCCTTGCTCCTGACCTTGACCCTAGGCCTTGCTCCTGACCTCGACCCTAGGCCTTGCCCCTGACCTTGACCCTAGGCCTTGCTCCTGACCTTGACCCCGTATGTTACTTACTATACCTGCGGCTGTAACATGTCAGATATTTTGCCAATAATCTGCAGCATGCTGGGACCAGGAGGGGTTATGCCAGTGCGGGCCTCCAGTTGTTTGCCAGGTGTCTAATCCTCCTGTAGATGGCAGTATAACCCGGAGGGATGTAACTGCCTGTGTCCCTAAATGAACACCAAGAAAGAGGATTGTACAAGTGGAAGGCTAAGACATTGGCCGCATTTGTGGGAGGAGTTGCGCCGGCTCTCCTGCCCATAAGAGGAGGGGAAGGGGGGTGTCCCGATCGCGGCCACGTTCCCGAGCTGACCCTCCTGCCCTTCCCCTTTGCTCCTTCACTTCACCAGAGCACGCCCCCTTATTTGGCATTGCTGACCGCCACTTCCTGGCACACCTCAGGTTGGTATTTAGTAGGTTTCGGGGTCACGCGTGACAAATCCTATTACTAGCGGAATAGTTGAATTGGGTACAAAGGCACCAAAACGTCATGCGGAGATCAGAAGTGTTATGAGGCAGAGTTGAGGCTCCTTAGTGTGATAACTGCAGTGGCAGAAAATGGGAGTTTCGGATGTCAGAGTAATATATAGTACAATATATGGGGCCCCTTTGATCTCTAGTTACACCCCTTGCAGAGCCCAATTGAGATCCTCACAGCCCACCTGAGGGTGACCCTGCAGAGCCCACTATAGACTCTCTAAGGTGGGCTCTGCAGGGTCACCCTCAGGTGAGCCGGTCACACTCCGTACCTGTCCGCCTCCTCTTCCTCCACCGTCGGTGATGAGCCCCGCCTCCTCCGCCCGTTGCCATCCCCGCCTCCTCCTCTGATGCCAACCGGGGCCCCGCCTCCTCCTCCACTGCTGGCTCTCACTGACTCAGCAGCGGCTGTGGAGAGGAACGAGCCGCTGCACAGATCACTGTCAGTGACAGCCAGCAGCGTGAGATGCCATAGCCACCCTGTTGGCCCGCAGGGCATCAGGAACGTCCTGGCTGGGCCCCCCTGTGCCCCGGGCCCCATGGCGGCCGCCTGAGTCGCTATGGTGATTGTTACGCCACTGGCCAGAGAGACACCGAGAGAGCCGAGTACTGTGAGCATAGAAGAAGATCCTTCGTGGTGACTCCTCCTGCTTCTGTCATGTTTGATTTCATTGTATGTGCGTGTGCTGATCGGGTTTCTTCATTGTAGATGACAAACACCATGGTGAGGAACCAGCAGCTGATCAACTCGTCCCCACATCAGGAAGAGAGCGTCCTGCGGAGCCTAGGTGAGGAGCATTATGGGGTGCAGGCCCGTCTTTAACGCAGGGCAAAAGGGGCAGTTGCCCTGGGCCCAGTCATTGTTGTGCAAGCAGCCGCCCCTTGAGCCTGCACTGCTCGCTCCCTACCTGGAGATGCGGGATGTCAGTGTCCCCTCCCTGCTCCCACCTCCTGGTTTTCCTTATCTCTCCATAGATGAGACAGACAGCAGAGATCGGGACCTTTGTCTCTTTGGAGAGAGAAACTGCATGGCAGGTAGAGGGCGTGGCTTGGTGGGTAGGGGCGGGGCCCAAGAAAATGTTTGCCCCAGGGTCCAATCAATATTAAAGTCGGCCCTAATGGGGTGTGACATCACAACAGCCGGGTGATCTCCCCTGGTTACAGGTTTTCTAGAAGTTTCTCTTCCTATTAGGAACAGATTCTTTCCTCTCGTCGTCGTCGTTGGATACGGTTGAATATTTGGGGTTTTAATACCGTTTCTGATCTTTAGTTGCTGAGATGGTGCTTCATGTCGTGCTCTCCACTGACAGATAGGCGGGAAGGCGCGGCGCACATGGATTACCCCACAAAGCTTTTTGAGTCGGCCAAGGACTGGGAGAATGAGATGAAAAGGTTGGGAGCAACCGCATGGAGGGTGACACCCCTGAACGAGCGCTGTGACACCTGCACCAGGTAACACCTCGGGAGTAAAGGTGACCGATAACAGAATGCACGCGCTGTATGTGATCGTGTGTCATCCACCTTATATCAATGTCATGCAGCAAGAGGTTCCACCCCGGCCCACAATGCAATGCGGCGCTGATTTCCACCCCGGCCCACAATGCAATGCGGCGCTGATTTCCACCCCGGCCCACAATGCAATGCGGCGCTGATTTCCACCCCGGCCCACAATGCAATGCGGCGCTGATTTCCACCCCGGCCCACAATGCAATGCGTCCCCGACACAGCGCCCCGACACAGCGCCCCGACACAGCGCCCCGACACAGCGCCCCCGACACAGCGCCCCGACACAGCACCCCCGACACAGCGCCTAAGAGTCACACTGCTAATGGCTTCCTTGTCAGTGAAATGCTTCTATTGCTCAGCTGAGAGTCACTGTGACACCGAACTTTAAAGCTGAGCTCCGCACCGAAGATGGCGCACGGCTCTTTATAACGCAGCGCGGCGCGTGGGTTGGGGTGTCCTGCGGTGTGGGTGCATCCTCTAGTATGAATGTAACAACAACGCGTGCATATGTACATTGCGGTATTGTATGGGAAAACACTGAGGCTGGGTTCACACCTAGGCGTATAGAATATGCGCGTTTCTTGCGCGTTTCGTGACGCGCGTTATTACCGCGATTTGCTGTAAAAAAACGAGCGACAAACGCCCCAAAGAAGCTCCTGTACTTTGGGCATCGGGCGTTTTGTAGCGCGGTCATACGGCCTGTAATACGCCCAGCTGTGAACCGTACCCATAGGAAATAATGGGATTTCGGTGATTGAGCGTTTTGCAGAGCGCAGGAACGCGCTACAACACGCCCAGGTGTGAACCGGGCCTAAGTTATTGTGCGGCCCCCAGCAGGACACGTTGAGGGCCACATTCAGGTCACCGTCACAGATCTTAGCTAAGCGATGTTTATCTATTTCTGTGGACGTAGTTCCGGGTGGGACAACGCCGGTCCTGACCGTCCTCTCTCTGTCCTTATTTCAGCCTCTCCAAGTACTTGGTCGTCCCCTGTAAGCTCCTAGACAAGGACCTGAAAAGGACATTCGCACATTTCCAGCAGCGGCGGATCGCTGTGAGTACTGAGCGGCGGCGTTTTCTCTTCCTTCCTAATATGAATATCTATAAAACAGTCCACAAATAACTGACTTCCGATGTGCTGAATACACAGCGATGGTCGTGGCATCACCCGTGTGGAAGTGACCTGCTGAGAGCGGCCGGATTCCAAACCAACACAGACCCCGATAAAGAGGACCTGAAGTAAGTACACCTGGGGGGGCTCAACCACCCTCCATGACCCTTAACGACCTTCAACCACCCTCTGTGACCCTTACCGACCTTCAACCACCCTCTGTGACCCTTAACGACCTTCAACCACCCTCCGTGACCTTTAACGACCTTCAACCACCCTCGGTGACCCTTACCGACCCTCAAAAACCCTGAACCACCCTCCATGACCCTTAACGACCTTCAACCACCCTCCATGACCCTTAACGACCTTCAACCACCCTCCATGACCCTTAACGACCTTCAACCACCCTCCATGACCCTTAACGACCTTCAACCACCCTCCGTGACCCTTAACGACCTTCAACCACCCTCCGTGACCCTTAACGACCTTCAACCACCCTCCATGACCCTTAACGACCTTCAACCACCCTCCGTGACCCTTAACGACCTTCAACCACCCTCCGTGACCCTTAACGACCTTCAACCACCCTCCGTGACCCTTAACGACCTTCAACCACCCTCCGTGACCCTTAACGACCTTCAACCACCCTCCATGACCCTTAACGACCCTCCATGACACTTAACGACCCTCAAAAACCCTGAACCACCCTCCATGACCCTAACCCTGAACCACCCTCCATGACCCTTAACGACCCTCAAAAACCCTGAACCACCCTCCATGACCCTCAATGACTTTCCATAACCCTCAGCAACCATCCATGACCTAACCCTTACCGACCTTCAACCACCCTCCATGACATTCCATGACCCTCCTCCACCCTCCATGACCTTCAAGTACCCTCAACTACCCTCCATGATCCTAAACATCCAGAGGGTGCGGCACATGTAAGCGAGGGGTTCGGGTCACAGATCTCCTTGATTTGTATGTTTCAGGTCGGTCAGGTGGCTGTTATACGCGCACCATGCGCAGTGCGTTGTCATTGACACGTCTGAGGACCTTCCGTCCATCGCCGACATCCAGATCTCTCACCTCAAGTTGCGCAGTTTGTGCTCAGCGGGTAAGTTGGTCCGCCGCGGTTCCGGGATCCGTCATCATGCGTGCTGCCATGTCATGCTCACTTCCACAGACCACAACAACCAATCACTTTATTCTCCAGCCTGGCTGCTGACCTGTGATTGGTCTATAAGCCCTCATGACCGTTGCATGACTGTGCAGCTATACAGGGGCCCTCTGGGGCCCTTTTATACAAGGTGTGGGTCAGGTGGGTGGAGACGCCCTTCTGCTATAATCCAGACCTGGATACGGGTCACTTGCCGGGCGAGAAGCGGGAAGTATCTGTTTATAATGTCCCCTCTGTGCCTGAGGAGCGCTGACACGGAACATGTCCAGCACCATGTAGGCCGGATGAGAAGGGCTGTTCCCTGTCTGACTCCATTGGGATATCATGAGAGCTCCCACCAGCCATGATCTGCCTGCATTGCATAGAGAAAAACAGAGACCCAGTGATCACCAGGACTAACATAAGGTACATAATGAAGATAGAGAGGTGTTATTGAAATATTCCATTAGTATGTTAATGGGTTGGTGGTGGTGGTGGGG